GAGGTAGAAGATGATGATATTGATACAGACCCTAAGTAGCCCTAGGATAATGTGTGTGTGTGTTTCAGTTTTTAATAGAAAAGTTTAAAAAGTAAAAAATAAAAATAAAAAAAATAAATAAATAAACATAAAGATATAAAGAAGGAAAATATTTTTGTATAGCTGTAGAATGTGTTTGTGTTTTAAGCCAAGTGTTATTACTAAAGAGCCAAAAAAGTGTTGTTTTTTTTTTTGTTTTTGTTTTTGTTTTGAGACAGAGTTTCACTCTTGTTACCCAGGCTGGAGTGCAATGGCGCGATCTCAGCTCACCGCAACCTCCGCCTCCTGGGTTCAGGCAATTCTCCTGCCTCAGCCTCCTGAGTAGCTGGGATTACAGGCACGCACCACCATGCCCAGCTAATTTTTTTGTATTTTTTAGTAGAGACGGGGTTTCACCATGTTGACCAGGATGGTCTCGATCTCTTGACCTTGTGATCCACCCGCCTCAGCCTCCCAAAGTGCTGGGATTACAGGCTTGAGCCACCGCGCCCGGCCTGCCAAAAAAGTTTTAAAGCAAAATGTTGATAAAGTAAAAACATTACAATAAGCTAAAAGTTAACTTATTACTAAAGAAAGAAAAATTTTTAATAAATTTTGTGTGGCCTAAATGTACAGTGTTTATAAAGTCCATAGTAGGATATAGCCATGTCCTAAGTCTACACATTCACTCACCACTCTCACTGACTCACCCAGAACAACTTCCAGTCCTGCAAGCTCCATTCATGGTAAGTGCCTGTAGTAGTCTGTTTTCACACTGCTGGGGAAGCCTCACAATCATGGAGAAGTCTCACAATCACGGTAGAAGGCAAGGAGGAGCAAGTCACATCTTAAGTGGTGGCAGGGAAGAGAGAGAACTTGTGCAGGGAAACTCCCCCTTACAAAACCATCAGATCTCATGAGACCAATTCACTATCAAGAAAAGAGCATGGGAAAGATCCACCCCCACGATTCAATCACCTCCCGCTGGGTCCCTCCCACAACACATGAGAATTTAAGATGTGATTTAGGTGGGGACACAGCCAAACCACATCAGTGCCCCATATAAAGGTATACGGTTTTTTATATTTTTTTACCATATTTTTACTGTACCCTTGATATGTTTAGATATGTTTGGATACACAAATACTTAGCATTGTGTTATAATCACCTAAAAGCAACAGGCTATAGCATAAGCCTAGGTGGGTAGTAAGCTATGTCATCTATGTCTGTGTGAGTGCACTCCATGATGTTCAACCAAAGGCTAAATCACCTAAGAACTCACATCTCAGAACTTAGTCATCTTTGCCATGCTCCATTCCTTTTAGCCTGACATCTTACTACAGGATCTATTGGTTAGTCTCATCACAGTGTTAAGAACTGAAAACGTGTTGAGGCAAACTTACCAAATTGTGGCATTGGATCAGGGCATGAGAAGGAATAGTTCAAACACGGGATGGAGGAGACACTTTATTTGCACGGATTTTTGTTTTGTTTTTTGCTTTTTTGTTTGTTTCTTTCTTTTTTGTCTTTCTGGACCCATTTTTCAACCTCCCAAAAAAGGACGACACAGAAGATGCATAACTCTCAAAACAGAAGCATCTGTTCTATCAGGCAATGGGACCCGTGGGATGAGCTGCAGGGCCACTGTGGGGCGGGCAGGTGAGGCACAGAGAAGGGCTCACCAAACCTCCAAAAAAAGCCTTTCCCTTCTCTCAATGTCCTGCTAAACCTGGAGCTGAGTTGCCCCAGCTATGTAGGGAATCCATGAGCCTCACATCACCCATGGGTACCCCGAATTCAGTGGTGACAAAGGAATGAGAGAAAGACAGATTAAGAGAAAAAGTGGGACCAGGGAGCCATCACTTTATTACTCTGGAGGAAACAGTGAAGGCCCTGAGCTCTGATCATCCACACTGTTTACTGATTACAATCACTTTGATCTATAGGGTAGGGGTGGAGTGATGGTGGAATGAATGAGTGAGCAGAAAGTGAATCAGTGGCTGGAACTGGTGTATCATTCTAACAATTGATAACATTGGTAGTTTGGGAGTTTCACAAAACAAGAACATGTGGTTATCTTTAGCTTATTATCTATGTGCAGCTGATGGAACATGGGCCTTACAAGGAGCCTACAAGCCTGGCTACGTCATAGTGATACGAAGGGGTTTTACATCCTTGAGCACAATTGTTTATGATAACAGAGCCGAGGTCACCCTGCACCGGAACATGAGGCATGGAGTGGCCTTCCTCCTCAGAGGCTTCCTGTGGCCTTCTACAGTTTGTTGTTCCTTGTTTGTGTTACTCATAACCAATTTACGTAGGCACTCCGTAAGCCCTTTCTCCTTTGCTGCTTTTCCCAACAGTCCTCCAGTGGCGGATGGGGAGGAGCAGTGTGCAAGGCGAAGATGTCCACTGCCAAGGGCAGTCGCTGCCCAGGGGGCAGATCAGGGTGGAACTGTGGCCCTGTGGACCCCCCACCCCTGCCTGCCTGGGCTTTGTAGATAAAATCCAGGACTTCACAGACATGTCCTACATGGGACCACTTCAGAGCCATTTGCTCATCCCACGAGTTTTTACTGCGCATCTACAATGTGGTGAGCAGGGTCCCCTTGGTGCTGGGAGAGGCAGGGCACAGGTGGAGAAGGCTCCCTTTCTCCTGGAGCTTATACTTTAGGGGAGAGAAAGAGAAAACAGGTAAACAACTAAGCAAGCAAGACAATTTCGGACAGTGATGTGTGCTGTGAAGAAAAGAAATGGGAAGAATGTGGAGGAATGTGACAGAGGGCGGCTGAGGGGACTCTACTTTCAGCTGCAGGGAGGCACCTCCACCAAGGGGATGTAGGTTTGAAAAAAAAAATTTAATGCTAAAATTCTATATTTTCAATATCAACAATAGCTTGTAGGAAACATTGATACCATTTAAAAAGATTTGATCATTTAGAATCTGTGGCAGTTTTTGTTGTTTGTTGTTTTTATTGTTTTTAGATTAGGCAACTGTTCATCAAATCTGTTCAATAGAGGTTGTGGAAGGATATGCTGTTTTGGGATAGAGCCTAGGGAGGAAAATGAGTGTTCTCCTGAAGAGCAAGGAAGGGCTGATGCAGACAGAAGATGACACTGATAAAATATCATTAAGGCTTATTTTGTTACAGGTATTATGAAGCCTGTTTATTTATTCATTTCTTTTAATTTTTTTGAGATGGAGTCTTGCTCTGTTGCTCAAGCTGGAATGCAGTGGCACTATCTCAGCTCACTACAGCCTCCGTCTCCCAAGTTCAAGTGATTCTCCTGCCTCAGCCTCCCGAGTAGCTGAGACTACAGGTGCATACCATCACACCCAGCTAATTTTTGTATTTTTAGTAGAGATGGAGTTTCACCATGTTCGCTGGGCTGGTCTCAAACTCCTGACCTCAAGTGATCCGCCTGCCTCAGCTTCCCACAGGGCTGGGATTACAGGTGTGATCCACTGTGCCTGGCCAAAATCAGTTTATGGAATGAGCTAAGTCCAGAAAGCAAGGGCTTCGTTATTCTCTAACCACTGCCTTACAACAAAGTTCTGTTGGCTCTCCTTCCATCATCACTCCAAGATTATGGAATCTTGGGCAGATACCATAAATTTTAGTGACAAATCTCATTTTACTCATTGCACCTCTATTTAAGGGATTAAAATGTCCAGTCCAGTCCAATTTAACAGCAGTGCCACACCTCATTCAAAATTCAGCTTGGCCTTTCTTACAGTGAATGAAGAAGGGATGTAATCGGTTTCTTTATTCTTTCTCCACTGTCTCTGTCTTCTCTATATTCTAGGTTCCCATGTCATTGCAAGGGAAGAGTGTATTACACAAAGAGGAGCGGATCTTCCTGGAGTTAACTATTGAATAAGGCAGACAGGCTAACATGTTCCTGCCTGCTAACATGGCAGAGTCCATATGCTGGCTTTTTCACAGGGCGCATCTGTGAGTTATTGGAAGGCCTTGAGCGTACCCCACATTGCACAGTTCCATGACACAGTGGCACATTATCTAGCTGACCTCTTGCAGCAGCCTCCACCCTGAACCCCTCTTCTGCCCAACCCCATGTCCTCTTACTGCTATAGTCTCCTTGCACAACATGCTGCCCTATTGGCTGATGGGATTGTCATGATGGGATCATCATGACAATGCAAGCCCAGCTACTCTTCCATAGTCAAAGCCATATGAAGAAATTCACATACTCTTACCATGCCAATATTGGAAGGGCAGGTTGCTATCACTGCTTCTCTTCTCTCATGCTGCCATTTTGGTTTGCCCAAGCCAAACTTTCACCTTCTGAATTTCCCAGGTGGGAAGCACTCATATTCATTCAACAAATATTTACCAAGCCCTTGTATTTGCCAAGCACCGTTTTTTGTGTTGCCAGTGCCCACCCCCATCCCAAACTCCAGCATTCATCAAGCTCTTCCCCCATCTGCTGCACTGAAGCTGCGTGTTCCTGTTAATCAGCAAGCTTTCAGTCTTGAAGTGGGATTCCAGGCTACCTTCTACATGCTTAGAGCCCCTCACACTTGTCTTTGCAAGAAATTCAAAGCAATCTCCCTCTTAATCTAGAACCTCCACTTAATGACTCTTTAATCACTCTTTTGACTCTAGTCTTCTAGAGATGGATAGTATGGACTGGGAGTCATTGGTCTCTTTCTGATCTTTTCATAAGCCTAGGCCAGCTGCGTCTAGTATCACGTGGGTGCATTTACTGTCTTTTGTCAGCTTTGAGGCTTTAGCCAGAATTCTGGGACAACCAGAAAAGTCCCATTCAATATCTAATTACAAATAAATTTGGCCCTGAGTTTTCTTGGGAAGTATCTAAATCCCGTCTTTCACCTCAGCAGCTTATGACTAAGTCCATATTTTCCTTTACATACCTGCACTAGTACATCATGAGAGCTCATTGGTTAATTATATATTTGTGTAGCAGGATAAAAGATTAAATAAGCTATTACACATACATGAAACAAAAGACTTTTTTATATGTCATAGGTGATCTCATTTTTCCCCCAAACCCCAAAGTTGAACAAAATAATGACGCTGACCCAGAGACCAATAGGATTCATGGGGCACTCTAAGGGCCAGAGCATATGATGCTGAAGTTGACTGTTTTCTTGCAGCCATGAAGCCAGATAAACCGTTGCTCACACAGAATCCATTTGGAAAAGGAACTGAAAAACATTTACTCAAAAGAGACTGTTTCAATTTGAAACATAATCATTAAACCAAAAGAGACTGGGCTGTCTGTCACTGGCAAGTTGAGTACCACCTCACCCCCTAGCCTAATTCCCCAGATGAAACATTATTTTTTTGTTAAGTCTTTCCTGAAGGCATGAGGATAATGGAGACGCCTCCAGACAGTTACTCAGAACTGCACTGTTCACATAATCCAAGTAAATAATGGTTTCTTAAATTGGATTTCCTTAATTTTTTTTTAAGGTTTCACCTATTGTTTTCAGTGACTAGTGTTAATTTTATGTGAAAAGCGGCTCTAATGTTAGCCCAAAAAAGCCCACGTTTACTTTTCTCCTTGGGCCATTCCAAATAAGTCCGCTGTGTCATGAGAGCCCTCAGCTTGTGGTACTTGTTGGGAATGCTGTTCTGTGGAATGGGTTCCAATAAGATGAGGATTAAGTTATTAGATCCTTCATGGAAGAGATTGTGATGGGCAAAATAGAGTTCATAATGACACCACTCGCTCTGGACAAAGTTGGGCGACAAGACAAAGATGGACTTGTAACTCTTCTCAATGCAGTTGATGATGTTTTCCACAATGCTCTTGCCAGGAACAAAGTTTCTCTCATGGAGACAAATCTGTAGACCTTCTTTCTCTAGGCAAGGTACCAATTCATTTTTCACCCAGATAGAATCGTGCCCACTATATGAAATAAAAGCATGAAACTGGAGATTTCTTTGGAGTTCTTCTAAGGGTACGTTCCTGGCCCTGCGCCGGGTCTGGGTCCACTGGCACACCATCCTGAGATACCAGGGCAGATCCAAGTAGATGCAGAGGGAGGTCATAGTCACAGCCAGCACCAGCATGGTGGCCCCAATGGTGATAATCAGCAGAGTTACGTTGCAGGATAATTCAGACATGTGAAAGTCCTTCAGTGGAATTCCTCTATAACTATCTGGGTAGTCACACTTATAAGAATCAGGCCAGCCCTCTATCACTTCACTTGATACCTGGCCTATATTTTTGACAAATTCTCTTAGATCACAGGTACAGTGGAATGGATTGTTCCCTGCATTTATTGACTTCATCTTCTGGCAGCTCTGGAAGAAATCAGCTGATGGGTGGGAAACTGAATTGTGATCAATGATCAATACAGAAAGGCTGCTAAAGCTGCCACATCCAGGAAGGTTGGTTAAAGAATTGAAAGCAACATTGAGTTCCTGCAAAGCTTCCAGTTTTACGACTTGTTTAGGAATGCTCTTTATTTTATTGCTGTGAAGATCAAGTACCTTGATCCTGGGAGGTAAACATCTGAAAACAGAGTCAGTAAGTATATTTGAAGACAAATTTAACACCACTATACTTGCAACCCAAGTGCAGTTTTCCTCATGTCTACCAGATTCCAAAGAATTCCAGCTAACATCCAATATTTCCAAAGATGGCATATCCTTAGTCATGAGACCTACTTTGAAAAGGTCTTTTAATCCATTCTTTTGTAAGATAAGTGTCTCCAATTTAACTAACGTGGAACATTTTTCAAAAATACTATCTGTGAAAACATTCTGAGTAAAGTTCAAAAACTTGAATGTGCTTGGTGCATGAGGACACAGCATGTGTATAAATGGTGTATCCGAAATGGTTAACATCATAATGTTCATCTCGGAAAACACTGTGTACAACGCTGTCTGTGAATAAAGAAAAACTTGGTTTGTGATATGTTCTATTTTCAGTGCTTTCAATGTCGTTTCAGAATAAGTAAAATATTCTTTGTGAATGCTTTCAATTATTGTTAAATTGTAAATACTGAGGTATTCCACAGGTTTGGGCCAAAGGTATTGAAAGACTCTAACCAGGCATTTCCAAGTTGTTTCCATGTGGTTGAGGGTAAAATTCAGTAAGTTTGGACCTCTGGTGAGTTCTGATAAAAAATTAATGAAAACTTGACAGTTGTCATCATTCAATTTAATATTAGTCAGTTGTAGGCACCCTAGAGTATTAGCTGATATGCTCACTTGGATAGAGAATAAACTATTTGGGTGAAAAACAAGGTGAAGTGTTTTTGCATTCAGAATTTTTAGACTTTCTGTCTCATTTTCTTTCACATAATAATTTCTTAAATCCAGAAGAATATAACTTAGATGCAAGTGAGCAACTGGCAGCAAATCTAATCTTTGTAACTTCATAGCACTCAATCCCAAGAAATTCAGTTGCGACAAGTTGCCAAATTCCTTACAGATGGGCAGGGCCTTGAAGTCATTGAATGAGAGATCTAAATGCCTGAAACTCACAATAGGATGGCAAGAGATCTTTTGCAACTGATTATGAGACAAATCCAAGTATTCCAAATCCTGATTGAACTTGAAGACACTTAAATCAAGTAGCTGGATTCTGTTATGGGAAAGTCTCAAAACTTTCAACTCTGACAGAAAGCTCATGTCAGAAACCTGAAGCTCAGATATGTAGTTCTGAGACATGTCTAAGACTCTGGTTTTCAGTGGTAGGTCTTTTGGAACATGAGTAAGGCCTCTTTTTGACTTGTCTACTGCAAATTCATTTTCGTCGGAAAACTGGATAATTATGATCATAAGGCAAACAAAACGGGAGCTTTTCACAATAGGTTCGTTGTCTTTGGTCATGATGTTGCAGTGGCTATCCTAAAGGGTTGTTATTCTTCAGAGCATCTTGATATGAGTCCAAATTCTAGAAATATAATATACACTAAGATTAACAAAGATCAGATGGCTATATTCAAACTTCCACTTACTAACCATGAAATCCAAATGATTTATTCATTCGCTAGTAGAGTCATTTCTGTCCATATAATTTTTTTTTTTTTTTGAGACAGAGTCTCACTTTTGTCACCCACACTGGAGTGCAGTGGCCCAGTCTCAGCTCACTGCAACCTTTGCCTCTTGGGTTCAAGCGATTCTCCTGCCTCAGCTTTTCAATTAGCTGGGACTACAGGCATGTGTCATCACGCCGGCTATTTTTTTTTTTTTGGTATGTTTAGTGGAGACAGAGTTTCACTGTGTTAACCAGGATGGTCTCAATCTCCTCACCTCGTGATCCACCCACCTCAGCCTCCCAAAGTGCTGGGATTACAGGTGTGAGCCACCACTCCTGGCCATCCCCATAATTTAATGATATTTTTTATGACCAGCTATATAGCTTGCTCATACCAGAAGGAGCAATACAGGCCTTGTTATCAAAGAACTGCGGTTGTGTGTTTTGACCTGTCTGGTTGCTGCCTGAGGGAGTCACACTCAGGAGCTTGCCTTTGTTTTGTACCTCTTAGAATTTTCTTAGGGCTGGAGCAGCCTCCTGGGTGGTGTTTGCTGTAAACATTTAAAGGCAAATATACACCTGAGCAAGGGCTAACAGTGGGGGCAAGCAGTGGACACGCCAAAAACCCTGGGAAATATGCAAAGATATATGGGAGAAAAAAGGCTTTGGAAATCTCTGTATATACCAGGGAGTCTAGAATTTCACCAACGTGCCCAAGCCTGGATATATGCTCAGAAGAGACCTGAGAAAATCCTCAACTTTCACCCCGGGCTGATCTCTAGCTTCCATGCATGCAGAAAGTAAAGGCTAAGGTGGAGTTGTGAATCGCCTGGCTAAGCATTGAGAAAGTGCTCCAACACAGCCAATCTGCAAAGATCAGGGGAGGTTTTGGTTTTGCTTTTGGTATTTTGTTTTGTTTTTGTTTTTGCTCCAGATGTTTAAAGAAATCTCAAGTCACTAGCTGACCACTAAGCTAACTGGACAGAGAATTTAATAGCCACACATGACAGAGAATGGTCTTTATAAAAAATATTTAGAAAAGTAATTAAACAAGCAACAACAAGCCACAAGAAGCAACAATACACTCTGGGAAAGGGAAGCCAGGCACGCCTGTAATTCTGGAACTTGGGGAAGGCAAGACAGGTGGATCACTTGGGCCAGGAGTTCAAAGCCAGTCTGGGCAACATGGAGAAAACCCATCTCTACAAAAAAAAAAAAACAAAAATTAGCTGGACATGGTGGCATGTGCCTATAGTTCCAGCTACTCGGGAGACTGAGTTGGAAGGATTCTTTGGGCCTGGGGAAGTTGAGGCTGCAATGAGCCAAGATCACACCATGGTACTTCAACCTGGGTGACAGAATGAGACCCTGTCAAAAAAAAAAAAAAAAAAAAAAAAAAAAAAAACACCTTCTGGGGAAGGGGGACAGAATTTGATTTCTAGAGCTACCTCATTCTAGTGTTTAAAATGGGGGGAAAAAAAAGAATCACTAGCCCTCACATTTGCCAGTGGACTTGCTCTGGATTTTGCCCTAAAGTTACACAAACAATGCAAAAAGCAAATGGAAAGAGATTGCTGTCTTTTTGATTGTGTAACTTGGCAGTAAAGGAATCTCTAATTAATTTGCTTTAAAAAAATTAGCCATGCAAAGAAACAAGAAAGTACTATTCTTTCACAGGGAGGAAAAAATTAAAAGAACAAAGTCAGATAACTGACATTACCTGACATTAAGACTTACTACAAAGCTACAGTAATCAAGGCACTGTGGTTTTGGTGAAAGAATGTACAAATAGATCAAATGACCAGAATACAGAGTTTAGAAATAGACCCTCACAAAAATAATCAACTGCTGTTTGACAAAGGAGCAAAGGCAACTTAGTGGAGAATGGATAGTGTTTTCAAAAAATGGTGCTAGAGAAAGTAGAGCCCCACATGAAGAAGAAGGAGAAGGAGAAGAAGAAGAAGAGGAAGAGGAAAAATGAGGAGGAAGAGGAGGAGGAGGAGGAGGAGGAGGAGGAGGAAGTTAGACAAAGACCTTACAGTTTTCACAAAAATTAGCTCAAAATTAACCACAGACATAAATGTATAATGCAAACTATGAAAATTCTAGAAGATAGCATAGGGAAAAATCTAGGTGACTTTGGATTTGGTGATGACTTTTTAGATACCACATCAAAAACATAATCCAAGAAAGAAAACACTGTTAAGTTGGACTTCATTAAAGTTAAAATGTTTGCTTTGCAAAAGAAACTGCAAGAGAGTGAAAAGACAAACCACAGCCTGAGAGAAGATATTTGCAAAATACATATATGATAGGGACTTGTATCCAAAATATGCAAAGAACTTTTGAGCTCCACAGTAATAAAACAAACAACCTAATTTTTAAATGGGCACAAAAATCAAAACAGACACCTCACCAAAGAAGATCTACAAAGAGCAAATACACATACAGATAGTTATTCAACATCCTATGTCATCAGGGTATTGCAGATTAAAACAGCAATGAAATTACACTGCACTTATGAGAATGGGTAAAATCCAAAACCAACATCAATTGTTGGTAAGGATGTGGAGCAACAAGAACTCTCTTTCACTGTTGGTAGGGATGTAAAATTGTGCAGCCACTATGGAAGGCAGTTAGATAGTTCCTTATAAAACTAAGCATAGTCTTACCATATGATCCAGCAAATCACATTCCTGGGTATTTAACCAAAATAACTGAAAATTTATGTCCACATAAAAGCCTATACATAGATGTTTATAGAAGCTTTATTCTTAACTGCCAAACATTGGCAGCAACAAGATACCCCTCAATAGGTAAAAAGATGAACAAACTGGTACATTCACACAATAAAAATATTGTTCAACAATTAAAAAATGAGCTGGAGAAGCTATAAAATGGCTGAATAGAGGCACCTAGCACTCACCCCCTCTGCAAAAAACTAAAACAGTGAGCAGATAATCACATATTAAATGAGCATCTAAGAGAAAACACTGGAATTCAGCAGGGAAGTGACAGTGAACCTCTGAGGCATGGAAGAAAAGGGAAGGGAAGCAGCCAGCCTAGCTGGGACTAGTTCTGAACCAGGAGGAAGTCTCCATTCCAGGGAAAGGATAACCGAGAAATCTTCAGAGGTCCCCATTTCCACTATAGACTCCTGTAATCCTAGCCATGAGCTAGCCCCTTGGCCCTCACAGGCCCTGAAACTGTCTGGAATCTATGCAATGACATTTGTTTCACAATGGGACTTTGAATTGGGTTCCATATCACCCATGCCCTGAGATCCAAACAGCTTCAGCATAGTGTTATTTCAAGAGTCCAGCCCTCACCATACACATCCTGTTCTGGGGCCCAACAATCCTTAATCTCCATACCCCTGAAGCCCCACTGATGCTCTCCTACATCCACCTAGAGGGCTACAGTATTGTAATGCCAGCTAAACCCAGCAGTGCAGCTAGGTCCCCAGCACTCTAGCCCATGCAATGCCCTACATCCCAGGAAACAGGAAGCACAGTGCACCTCGTGGCTCTCCCTGGGACAAAGGGAGTCAAAGTATGAATTCCCCAGGGCCTAAGAGCTACCTGCCCAGGGCCACTGACAATTACAGCAACCCCACCTTCCCTAGCAGCAGGACCACCACACACCTACACATGCCTTCAAGGGGCCTGAGGACAGGTCCACCATGCGCTCCACTGCTAGTGCCTGCCTGCCACTGCCATGGCCAACACTCATCCACACATGCCACGTGGGGTCCTGCAGACTGGCTTGCCCAGCCTGCTGCTGCCACTGCTACTGCCTGTGTATGCCACTTGGGGGCCAGAGGGTTGGCCCACTTTTTCTATTGCTACAGTTGATGGCCCACAGATTGTGCAAGGGCCCAACAACCTGCCTTCCCATTTGGTCCATTACTGCCACTGCAAGTATCCAAATACATCTCCTGGAGGCTGAAGGACCTCCTTCCTGGACCCATCACCACCAGTGCCCACATACATCCCTCAGGGGCCTGAGGACCAGCAAGCCCAGTCCACTGCTGCCATCACTGGTGCTTGAATACAGGCCTGCCTGGTGTCCCCATCTGAATTCCACAAAACTTTTAACAAACAATTAATACCAATTTTTCTCAAACTATTCAAAAAAATTGAAGGAATTCCTCCTAACTCATTCTACAAAGCCAGCATTTTTCTGATACAAAAACCAGACAAGGACTGGGTGTGGTGGCTCACACCTGTAATCCCAGCACTTTGAGAGGCTGAGGCAGGCAGATCACCTAGGTTCAGGAGTTTGAGACCAGCCTGGGCAATTGAGCGAGACTCAGTCTCAAAAAAGAAAAGAAAAGAATAAAGAAAAAGAAAAGAAGTCAATAAAGCAATCCTATCTGCATAGCTACAAGACAATTACAATACCTGGGAATAAACTTAATCAAGAAGGCAAGAGGTCCCTACAACAAGAACTACAAAATACTGATGAAAGAAATTGAGAACACTAAAAAATGGAAAGACATCCCATGTTCATGGATTGGAAGAATTAATATTGTTAAAATGACTTCACTACTCAAAGCAATCTACAGATCCAATGCAATCCCTATCAAAATACCAATGATATTATTTACAGAAATATAAAAAACAATCTCAGCATTTGTATGGAAACACAAAACACCCCAAATAGCCAAATCAATACTGAGGAAAAAGGACAAAGCTGAAGACATCACACTACTTGACTTCAAAAGATACTACAAAGAAAAAGTAGCAAGGTTTTGGTAGAGAAACAGATACATAGACTAAGAAAACAGAATACAGAACTCAGAAATTAATCCACATGTTTACAGTCAATCGATTTTCAACAAAGGTGCCAACAACATATAATTGCGGAAAGGCTACTCTCTTCAATAAATGGTGCTGGCTTCACATTTGTTCATA